CTTACTAGTAGTAACAAGTGCCTTACTAGTAGTAACAAGAAGCTATTAGAATGCCATGTTGATTCAGAACATCGAAATCCCAGCAGCGAGGGAGCTCCATCAGGCCGCAAACAATGGCTTCGAAGCTGAGATGCGGCGAAGCCGCCTCACACACTCGTACAAGAAAGAAGCGTGGCACTTGTTCCTAGTAGCTTCTTGTTACTACTAGTAAGGCACCTGTTACTACTAGCGTGGCACCTGTTAGTACTTGAGTATAGACGGGCACAGAGTTTCAAAAATCAGTGTCCGTCTGGACGTCATTAGTGCCCCAGCTGCTACCGCCCCTTCTAAGAAGCACCTGAAAGTATTGGAACCACAGCACGAAGCACACAAAAGAGCGATGGCCTCCAACCTAATAGCAAACTATATTAGACCTTTCTTTTTTTGTCCGTTTTTAGCAATGGCCTCCAATCTACTAGCGATGGCCTCCGACAAGACCCGGACAAAGCATGGACAAAAGGACAATGACAAGACACGGGATTTGCCTGAGCAAGTCTGAAATCAGAATGACTTTGTGTCTGAAATCAGGTATCCATTTTTTTACATAAATTGCATCTTTACATCTTCACAAAGGGCGGCCTGGTTGGAGTCGTCTTTGGGCTCCGTGCCTCCGATTGCAATTGCTATTGCGCTTGCACGCTTGCAGCATGATAACAGGTGGAAGACCTTGCATCTGGCCTTCCATGTGGGCGAACTGCCTCGTCTCCAAGCGTACCTCCTTCATGCGGAAGCACTCCCGCACGGCTCCTGAAACGAAAGTCAAACACATGAGCAGCAGTAGTAACAAGGGCATCGCTACTAGTAGCTAGAAGCTACTAGGTTGGAGGCCATCGCTAGTATGTTGGGGGCCATTCGACCAGAATGACTGCTCGTTTCCCTGTATGTTGCTTGAACATGTTTGAACCGAATTTGAACCCATCCTTTGCCAAAGGCTTCAGAGTCTAGCTGGACCATCACCTACCAATGTTCTTTCAACCGCCACAGGAAAATGGGTAACAAAGGCTTGCCATGCAAAGCCTGATCGAACGTATCATAGAATATGCAAAGCCTCAAAGCCTGTTGCTATTGCAGTGCTACTAGGAGCAAAGGACGCTACTAGGGGCTCCTGGCATCGCTACTAGGAGCAAGGGCCTTTCTACTAGTAACAAGAAGCTAATAGAAACAATAATTACTAGTTAGAAATTAAACTGAATTAGAATTAAATTTCTTCCCAACCTGTTCCTCCACCCAGCCATCGGTGTGCACATCAAAGCAGCGCTTCTTCGCCAGCACTGGAGGGCCTGGCACAACGAACAGCCTCAAATGCGTAGTCTTTTCTAGCCCTGAAGTCCAAATTCAATATTCATTGCTTATCCATATTGATGTGTGTGTGTGCGTGTCACCTCCCGTCTCGCAGGGGGGCAATGAACACTTTGGAAGGCATTGCCCAACGAAGCCCTTTCCATTGTGTTGTGATATGACTCTGGGACGCCAAAGTCACGTACCTGCCATAATTGTCCAGCATATCTTCACGTTTTACCCTTGTTCAAACAATACTGTGACTGCCGACTTATTCACCTTTCGGTTCGCAGGCTAAGGGCCAATCTGCATTAAGACGTAAAGGGTTAATGAGCACCGAGATCCATACAGAATTCTCGCTCCATGGAGCTCTTTCTCAAGTGTGTGCACGTGAGTGTGTGCGCTTGTGTGTGCGCGTGGGTGTGTGTGTGTGTATATGTCCCAGTGTGTGTCAAGAAACACTGTGGGTATGCGAAAGAAGCGGCCTGGATTGAAGTCCTTCCATTCCTTGGAGATCTGCTCTCGAGCCTTCCTGCAGAAAAGCAGTGAGATTTGTGACAGCGATGCAATGGCCTCCAGCCTACTAGCGATGGCCTCCTTCTTGCAAGCTTCTATGAGCTTCACAAAGCGATGCAAAGCAACTGCCGCTTTCGTCCATTCAATGCAGGAAAGAAAGAGGTGTGGTCTCAGGCCCACCTGGCGGCACGCAACAGAGATTCCTGCACGCCCCGCAAGCCGGTGGAGGCTTCCGCCGCCACTTCTGCCTGGGATGTTGCTACCGGCTATACCAGCAAACTAGTACAATCAGGTCAGGAAACTTTACTGTTTCCTTTTCTGCCTTTTTTGCAGTGGTTTTTCTGTCTTCTCTTAAATCCAAACTACTGACTAGAGATGAGAGACATGCCAGTTTCTGTCAGTTTCCGCTCTTCTCTTTTCAGTTCCGGGCCTTGATGCTCGCCTTGGTCTCCTCCGAGAGGCTAAACTGCCGTGGCGCAGGAACAAACATCGCTGCGTGGCACAGCGTCTACGCTCATTGACTCAAGCGGCGGCCATGGGAGTGAACATGTGGCTCAAAGCGAAGAGGTCAGAGTAAAGGTCTTGTTCGTAGCTCCTTGCTTCTAGTAGTACGGCCAGGAGCCCCTAGTAGCGTCCTTGCTCCTAGTAAAGGTCTGTCAAAAGATCAACGTCGTCAAGTTTGCCGAGTCAGCTGACCTGAATGTACCTGGCCATGCTCTTTGAAGTGCTCCCATGGGCTCAAGGGGTCTTGTTCTGCCAAATGTCTGCCGTGCAAGTGGCATGAGATGCTGGTCTTTTCTGAGGTTAGAAACTAGGGACATTCTCCCTCTGAGCCAAGGCCACAGCAAAATGTAGCAAAATGCGCCTTACTACCTTTCCACCACAACTGGGCCTCATGTCCTCTATCTTCCTACCTTTCGGTTCCGCTCAAGCGGGCAATCCAACCTTCAAATCCTCCGGCATCACTGGGCTCCATCTTTGCAGCAATGCCTCCAGCTATGCTGACTGTTGTCTTCTTTCTTCCCCAAAGAATGCACTCAAGTTGTCTTGTTCTTTTGAGTTATTAATGGCGATGGCCTCCAACCTACTAGCGATGGCCTCCAACTCAAATGAACAAATAGTAAAATCTACCAACTAGAAACAAAAGTGATTTAAAAAGGCTCTCGTACACGAAACAAAACGGCCATCCGGCTCTTTTTTGGCTCGATGTGTTCTCTGTCTGCTGGCTCTGGAAGCATCGAAAGGTGAGGCTAATCCTTCCTCGGTCAAGTCTGAACAAAACTAAAACAAAATCTTTCGATCGTTCTCTTCTCTTCTCTATCTCTTGTCTTTCTCTATCTCCTTTCTTTCCTTGTTCAACCCGATTTTACTTCCTTTTAGTTCGCTTTCTTTCTGCATAACTCCAAATCTGTTCCAAGCTGCTTCCGCTGGCTTTGCAAGGTGGAATGGCATGTTTGTGGGTGCGTTGGCAGCTTCCACCCATCACAATGAGGTCGCCATCTTTCACTTCGACCTCCACCTTCACTTCGCAACGTTGCAAGCAGCCGTGTCTAAGAATACTGACAAGACCGCTACTAGTACATACTATCTGCCCATGTGTGTCGTTCTGTTTGCATTATTTGTTTCCATAGACCTCTATTTTTTCGGTTTTCTTTTCCTTTTGTAAGTTTGAGCAAAGCAGCAACCATTCAGTCTACATTGGATGCTGGAGCTTCATTCTCCACTACAACTTGTTCTCGCCTTCTTGCCTGCATCTGGCTTTCTGGGAGTCACTCGGAAGATCCTTCAAGGAAACAAAGAACAAGACCAGTTGCAAGGAGCGCATGAAGAAACATGTGGCTGCAATTGTGATATCACATGTTGCTCGGTTGTCAAAGCTCATCCGCCTGTGACTTCCCCATGAGACTGCAAAGATGGGTGCATTGGGCACCAAGCCGCGTTCATCATCAGAGTGAGCCCCAATGGAATGCTGACCTCCATCATACCAATTCACCAGACCTCCAAGGGGCGGGCTTCACTCAGAAAAGCAAAGCGGAAAGCAAGGAAAGAAGCCTTTGTTCCTAGTAGCTTCTTGCTCCTAGTAGTAAGGCCAGGAGCCCCTAGTAGCTTCTTGCTCCTAGTAGCGCTGCCCTTTGTTCCTAGTAGCTTCTTGTTACTACTAGTAAGGCACTTGTTACTAGAAGCGATGCACTTGTTCCTAGTAGCGAACCTTGTTACGCAACGAAAGGCTCAAGTCGCAGTTCAGTGGCAGGCACCATAGATGCAATCTTTCAGTGAGGATTGCATGAGGGCTGCCCGGAGCTTGGCCAAAACGTGCCACACCTGCGTGCTTTGCATTGCTAAATGAAATCTCTTGTTCCAGAACCCTTGAAAAGAGGAAACCCTGGCCTTTCAGAATCCTCGTCAGTGCCATAAAGCATCATATATGTTGCATCATAAAGCATCGAATTGAGCCCTTGTGGCACCTCGGGCGACTCCTCTGCATTGAGCGGATGTGCTTCAGCCACTTGACCTGAAAAGGCGTAGTCTGTACCTAGGCGAGGCTCTGTGGGATGCAGATGTTCGCATGGCCATCAAGTCCAAACAGTTTGTCAAAACAAATGTGCCAAGCTCCAGGAAGGAGTTTGCAAGGTGTTGCTCCAGACCTTCTTGTCTTCTGCTTTTTGCGCATATAACTTTCAAAAAAAACGCTGCTGTACACATTCATCCAAAGCACCAAAGGATTGCTGATACCGGTGAAAAGTAACTTCCTTTCCGAAGAGCTTCCCCTGAACACACTAAATGCACTGAACGAATGGCTCGGTCCAGAAAAGCTCAGACGCGGTGAGGACATGAAAAATAGCGATGGCCTCCAACCTAATAGCCGCACCTTGCCCAAGGAGCTGGGGTGCTTTGCCCACAGTGTGTCAAAGTCTTCGGAGGATGGAGCCCAACGTCGAAGCAAAAGCAGCCAACCTCAGTGCCAGCTTCTTTGTTACTACTAGTAAGGCACTTGTTACTAGAAGCGATGCACTTGTTCCTAGTAGCTTCCAGTTCTTGCAGAAGTGGTTGCTCGTGTTCTTTATGCCCCTCTCTATGGACTCTCTCACCTGGCTCTCCACTTGGTGCAAAGCACCTGGTCACCGGTTCGCGTCGTTTGCCAAGAAACTGGTGGCCGATTCGTTCAGAGCTGCGAAACGAGCCTAGACAAAAAGTGCTCACAAACTAGGCTTGAGAGAGACAAACAAACAAACAAACAAACAAACTTGTCTTTAATAAGAAGAAAATGGTATAAGAAGAAGAAGAAATGAATTGCTCTTTGACAAATGAATGTGTCTTTTTCTTTCCAAGCAACATTTGCAAAGCCCGGGCCAAGAAGTGCTTGAACATCTTGCGGAGTCTCAGCAAAGCCTTCTCATCAGCAATTCTTCCGTCTGTCTGTTTTCGTGTTTCTTTCAACCATTTTCAACCCTTATTTGTTGTTCTTCCTTCCGCCCTATCAAAGCGGAAAATTACTTTACATGAATTGTCCCATCTTTGTACTATGACCCCCTGAAAAAGCAATTCCGTCCTGGAATCCCTCCGAGAAAAAGACGCTTCTTGCTCGGCCTCAGATGATCAGAGATCATCATGCGGCTTGGATGTGATGTCGATCCACATCCTATTTGTGAGAGCGCCTCTTGTGAAGTCCAACGACCCTCAAGACCTTTTGGGCATGTCGTGTCCTTGGTCCGTTTCATTTACTTGCCTGATCAAACGCCAACGTCAAGGCCAAGACGTGCACGTGAGCGTCAAGGGCCGCTTTTTGGACCTTGGTTCTTGCTCGTAGTAGCGATGCCCTTTGTTCCTAGTAGTTTCTTGTTCCTAGTAGTAAGGCCAGGAGCCCCTAGTAGCATCCATGCTCCTAGTAACGTAGGTTTCTTAGCATAGGACACAAATACATGCGCGTTCTTTGAAGCCGAAGAAGCCAAGCTTTGGTTTGTGAGCAACTCTGATAGACTAGCCAGAGTCTAGACGAGAAGCCACGATTAGCGGATTAAGCGAGTTGGTGGACTTTGTGGCGTAGTTGGCGAAATCGTGCTGCACGTGTACTACGATTACTGCAGCTAGATTCAGATGCGCCAAACTCAGTGACAAGAGTTGAGTGATGTGTTCGGCTTGTTCCATTCCCTTCTTGCTGCTCGATGGTTTTTGCAGCTGTTGTTGTGAAATACGTAGTTATGAACAATTTATATTGTCCAGAGGTTGAAGAGATACAAAGAAAGAATAACGGTCTGGTTCCATCGGGTTCCGAGATTCGGATACATATGCGGATGTTCATTTTCCTGACCCTTTCTTGGCTGTATATTTGTTATTGCTCTTAATGTGTTGTCTTGTTTGGAGACCTTTAGGTCTATTTGTTCTTTCTGTCTTTCCCTCCTGCTTTCTTTCTGGCGTTCTTTCAGAGCCTTTCAGTCTGTTATCAATCCATAAAATCTGCTTCAATTCGATGCACTGCTTCACTTGCTTCGCTTATCTTCGCTTTACGTCTTGCTTCAACCTGAATCATATTAAAGAAAGAGTTGCTAGCCACACTACAAGCTGCCCACGACAGTCTTCTCTTGCCACGATGCCGGGATTCTTCGCTGTCACTGATCTCCAGTACAGGCTGCTTTGCCAAGGACAAATCAAATGGGAATGCGCCGTTCTCCATTTGTCACGGCGCTGAAACTAGTCATGAGATGTCATGAGTCAATGATCAAGTTTTCTCGAGTTCGTTGCTATGAGCTTCTGTGAGTGTTGACTTGTGATCTCCGATCTACAAGGTATTGGCAAGTTGTATCAACAAACTGGCTTTGGAATTCTTGGTTCGCCTGAATCGCTCTTCTCTTGGTAGCCTCACCGCTCTGCTTTTTGCGTAAAGCTGTTCTGTCTGCTTCCTTTGCCATCTCATCCCTTCCCATCCCTTCGGGAACACCTCGAGCCACTTGAGCTTCATCCGGCAGGAAATTGTGCGCGTAGCTCGCATGACAAATCAGTTGTTTTCTACGTTGTTTTGTTTTGTAGGTGTATTTGTATTTGTTTTCATTTGTCGAATAATGTGTCAAAGCAACTCATGATGTGTGCTGCGTGTGCTGCGTGTGCTGCATGTGCACGGCCTCCAGAACTGCTGCACTGCACCCTTGGCGCAAGGCCTTGATGAGCAAACCAGCCTCATCGGTGGTTTTCCTTCGTTTGCTTTCCTGAAGGCTTCCTAAAGGTTTTTCTTGTATGCTGTTTCCTTTAGTTGTCTTTTTGCTATGTTCTTCTTTCTTGTCTTGTCCTCGTCATGCAATTCCAGTCTTTGAAAATCCCGGACATCCCGTTGATTCGAGCCTCTGGATCAGCACCTGAGAACAGAATTGTGCCGTCAAAACACTTGTCGAAGACTTTTTCAGACAAACTCAGTACAGAATTCTGCTCTATCGCTTCATTTTATCAATTCTGCTTCTATTGTTGATTCATATTCTAATCACTTCATATTTTATCTCTTCTCATCAGTCTGTGTCTAAGGTAGCCATCAGCTGTCTGAGTCGGGCCTTTGGCCTCAAGCACATCAGCGCCCTGCTCAAGCAACCTCGCGCAGACCGTTCTGCGGGAACAAAGCTGTGAAACGCCCAAGGAAGCTACAGGCTACTAGTAGCCTTGCTCCTAGTAGTAAGGCACTAGCCAGGAGCCCCTATGCACTTGTTCCTAGTAGCGTCCTTGCTCCTAGTAGTAAGGCCAGGAGCCCCTAGTAGCGTCCTTCCCAAGGAAGCTTCTAGCTAATCCACAAGCTTGGACCGATCGTGCTCTCCCAAACGCCTTCGCACTTCTGCGAGACACGCTTGCTGGCCCTTCTTGAGCTCCTGGGGGCTACGGCATCCGACACAGCTCATGATTGCCAAAAATGAAGTGAACAAACCCTTCGCCTTAAGAAGAAAAGAGCAAGAAAGAAATGCAAGTTTCTCAGATGTTCGTGAAAATCGACTTGTTCAATGGAAAAACATCCTCTGAATTCCTATCTGTGGCTTGCCGGCAAACGCCCCTCCTTTTCCAGCTCATGGCGCAGCTTCAAATTTCGATGCCTTACACGAATTCGACGGGCTTATATACAATGGTTTACCTTTCGCAAAGTTTAGGTTTTATTTTTCATTTAAGACCTTAGGTTGGAGGGCATCGCTCTTAGGTTGCTTCTTTTGCTTGTTCCTGTACCTCACAGGCCTCACGTAGCAAGAATCTTCCAAGTGCGAAGCCAATTGAAAAGCCCCTAGTAGCGTCCTTGCTCCTAGTAGCGATGCCCTTTGCTCCTAGTGGCGTCCCTTGTTACTGAAGGCCTTCTGGGACATGTTTGGCATGGAGGTAAGAAGCTTTTCTCAACTGTTCTTGGATGGCGACTGACTGCGGCCATGCGAGACCTGGAGTGGAAATGGGCAATTGCATGTCACCAACTCTTACAGTTCAAGTCCTCAAAAGATCGCATGGTTTCTTGTGGCAACGCAAATAGCAACGACAGTTGAAACCTAACCTAAAGGAACCTAAAAAGGACCCTAAAAAGGAACCTAAAAAGGAACCTAAAGGAAATCTCCTCTAAAGTCAGTTAATTTTTTGTTGACTGTCTGGTCACCTTTGTGCGGAGTGTCAGGCCCTGGCAAAGGCTGGACGAATGCTCGACAGTGGCACTTTCAACCTCAGAAGAATCAGCGACACAGCCTGACTTTCAATTTGTTTCAGGAGCCACGACATCCTTTGATCTTTCATTCTGTCTTTCATTCTTTCCTTTGGTCTTTCTTCATTGGTCCTTTCTTTCTGCTTTCCTTTAGACTCGTTGGACCTACCTTGCTTTGTTGTCTTTGCTTTCTATCTATGTTCATGTCTTTCTTGCTCTATTTTTTTGTAGACCTCCCTGTGTTCCTTCTGACTTTCAATGCGGTTATTGCAAGACTGTCGCTGCAAGAGCCCCATCCCATTTGCAACCAAGGTACATTGTGTTGGCAGTCCCACGTTCATCCTTTTGCATTCCAAGCAAAACTAAGAACAAGAAGCTACTAGAATTTGACACAGAAGTTCTCCTGGACAGCCACCCAGCACTCTTGTGGCTCTTCTATCTGACCAGTGAGAAAAGATAAAGAGTTGGTTCTGCTCACATCAACAGGGTCTTTAGTAGTAAGGCCAGCAGCCCCTAGTAGCTTCTTGTTACTACTAGTAAGGCACTTGTTACTAGAAGCGATGCACTTGCTCCTAGTAGCGTCCTTGCTCCTAGTAGTAAGGCCAGGAGCCCCGAACGTAGCGTCCCTTGTTCGGTCTTCATCATTTTCTTCATAACGCAAGGAGGCGCACAGTCCATGGTGTTGGAACGAACAACAGCCGCTAGAATCCAATGCTTGTGAGACACTGCCGCCGAAGTCCTAGATTGATCATTGTACAATCGGACTTCTGTTGGGACCAACAAAACGATTTCGCTCACAGAAGCAGACAAGCATAAATGTATAGAAATGGTGGTTTCTTTTTCGCTGTCCTTGTCATCATGGGTACCGTAGATATGCAAAAGTGCTCTTCTTTGGCCCTTCCAACGCTTCGTTCGTGGTCTCTCTGAATGCGCCAGTAAACGCGACTCTTTGGCTTTGGCCACCTTCAGAGTTGCGGCAAAAATGGACGACTGGCGGCCCGGGTTAAAATCGAGGCTTCGTTTTGCCTCTCCTACTCAGTACTCGATAGATCTCGATAGATCTCAGCACCATACACACCATTAGCAAAAAGCCGTCAGAGTGCTTGTGCATTTGAATCCTCCCTCGGCACATCAGGGAATGTCTCCTTTGCTTCCACGTGCGCTGGAGTGTTTGGAGCGCTGGTTTTCTTGTAAATCTCCTCTTGTTTTTCATAGATGAGCTCCAACCGTTGCCCCTTTATGGGGAAAATCCAAGTCAGAGCGCATGCTATGAGTTGGCAGCTAGGGATCACTGCAAAATAGAAGAACTGGATGCATGTGGCGACCGCCGGATCCTGACTTTCAAAGTTTTGGACTTCGCAGGCTTCACGGCACTTGGACATGGCATCACGATCGGCCAGACCAGTGCATTCGGCCGCGCAGTTGCTGACCTCCAGCCCCGCAGCTGACAAAGCGCTCAGGAGAATCCCAGAGGCAGCTGCCTTTGTCACGTCAGAGTCAGGCCCCAGAGATGAGAAAAGGGAGGGCCCCTTTGGGCCCTTTCATAAGGGCCTAGAAACAAGGGCATCGCTACTAGTCTCAAGGGTATTACTACTAGTAGCAAGGAAGCTACTAGGGGCTCCTGGAATCGCTACTAGGAGAATTCCTACTACTAGAAAAAAGAAGCTACTAGTAACAAGTGCATCGCTTCTAGTAACAAGTGCCTTACTAGTAGTAACAAGAAGCTACTAGGAACAAGTGCATCGCTTCTAGTAACAAGTGCCTTACTAGTAGTAACAAGAAGCTAC